ACACGGTGTCCAAACTCCAAAGTATATGTACAAATTATGAAGTTCGTAACTTGTTGATTTTTTTTTTCTTTATAAGTAGTGTATATGTATTTTGAGTAGAGAAAAATCATTCACATAATACCCGTTATCCTATTTGTATGTGATTTGAAAGTAAAAGGAGTTGTTATTGAAAGAACAAAAATTACAAACTAAGACGTTAGCTATTTCATATTTATTAACACATGTATATGTCAAAATACGGGTCAGACTGGCGTACGTCAGACGTTAGTATACGTCAGACACTACTAGTGAGATATCTCTATCTAGACCATGAATTAAATCGAGTTTGGGGTATGATACTATACCCTAACCTCTAATGGATAAATCCCAGATCCCGATTTTCTAAACCCTAACCCGAAGTTTGATTTAATGAAAAACAAAAAGTGACTGTTGAGATCGGTTGAAGCTCATCTAAATACATCTAACGGTTAGATCACCTGCTGTGTACTATACACTTGACGTACACCACTCATTACCGTCAAAATACATCATTTTTCATTCCCAATGTGTCTAAACATTGCTTTCGGGAGCATCCTAAATCCTAATCATTGAACCAATTATCCCGAGGAAAGGAAGGAAGAAATGGCTTGGAAATTTCCCCCTTTTTAGCCTTTACTCTTTGGATATATTTTCTTCTCAATGGGTTTGGCCTGAGCTTGGAAGCAAGCATCTTCTCTTAGATAGATTTTGTGCAAAGAAAGTTAGCAAAAAGAACACAAAATTCAAATTCTTTGGTTCCATGATAGAGAGATTCCAAAAAGAGCAGCATTTAAAAAATTGACGGGGGAGACCAAACCAGTTGACAACGAATTTTCCCCCATGTGGTGTGGGGTGTGCAATGCAATGCAACATAACTTAATAGAAAAATTGTTGGTTTCTTACGTACGTTAGGGGTGGACAACGGGACGGGACGGGATACCCGTCCCGTTTGAAACGGATACCCAATCCCGTTTGGAGAGCAAAGTTCTTCTCATGTCCCAAACCCATAAGGGTTAACGGGTACCCGTTACCCGTACGGGACGGATAACGGGTACCCAAACTACTCGTATATACCCGTTGATTTCAATAGCCAACCTCTCCTCTCTATTGTTCCAATCAAACCCGTTTTGCTCAAAATTAATCAGAATGTTAATTTGGAAAGATGATTATACGTGGAGAGCAACAGCTCCAAATTAATACATTATTATGTTACAATTATTCCTAATAAACCTCTTCCCACATCTCGCACCCTCCCCTGTATCTTTCAACAACTCTCCGTTTTGTCCCTATTGCTCTTTCCATTTCCATATCATCATCATCTTTTATATTTGAGTAACAGAGTTCATCCATGAGCAAATGACTACTGCCTCCTGCAAAAGAAAAGAATCTTTTGTCCCCTGCCTTTACCATGTATGTAAACAACTCCTTCCATTTCCTTTTGTCTCAATCTCCACATTGTACTCAAAAGAAGTAGAATGAAGATTGCATATTACGGGTATTACGGGTACCCGTTTTACCCAAACGGGTATTAACGGGTAACCCGTGGGAACCCATTGTAGAAATTATTGATCCCAAGTCCCATCCCGTTAAAAATAAAATGGATATTTGGGTACCCGTAACCCTCAAAAAATGGGACGGGTATGGGTATACCCAAATACCCATTTCCCGTTGCCCACCCCTAACGTATGTGATGGGTACGTAATGCATCTATTCTAATGACCATGCCATTGCCATGCTAGTTTGAATTTGTAAGTGTAATATAAAAAGAGAAAACATGAAGAGGTGATTTGAGTTCAAATCTGCTTATTAATTTAGGACGTGTTTGGATATGTGTATTTCAAATGTAAGGTATTTGAAATACAAATATTTAAAGAGGCGTGCGATAATTAAAGATTCATTGAGTTGTAGGAAACACTACTTTTTGGTAGTGTCCGAACCCTTGTGGCTATGGAGGGTGGATTCACACTTTTGGATAATGTCTTCACTACTTGTTGGATTTTATGGGACTTTGGGGTTTGATTTGCCCTGAAATGTGCCTATCTCATTGCAAACTTCGTTTTGTTTAATACAACTTCGATTCATATGGTTGCTGGCTTCTCAAACCATCATTTCAACTATTTAAACAAAATCGAAATAACCAAACCACCTAAACTAACTGCAAACACTTCCATGGTTGATCAAATTTGGCTGTCATAAGTTAGTCAGGCTTCAATTTTAGAGCTTATATGACTAGAAACACATTCTATTAGGAAGATCGACTCACAATATTGAAAATTCGAAGTTGAGAAAATGAACCAACTTACAAGAAATAATCATCGGATAGTTTATAGTTCCCGACTAGCCATTTATTTATATCTTGGTGTCTATGGAAACAAATGTGCACTACACTGCAGATAACGATAAGACGACAGGGGAGGGCCACATGCTCAAGTTTGAAATGTTAGGGCTGCTCAGTGCTCTCCTCTCCTCTGCTGTGTTATTTGTTATTTCTTCTGCGAGGGGTTTTGGGGTTAAGAGTTTTAGGACACCGACCGATCAACAATTAGTCAAATTAGTGTTCAGAAGAGAAGAGGGACACTTTGACCACTGACACCGTCGTCAGGTATGGGATTGGGGGGCGCCTATATTTGAACTTAAGGACACACGCGCTCTCTCCGTTGGAAGTTGGAAATATTATAGGGCTTTTTGGAGTTTGCGATATGGCTACCCGAGAATCTGTGTTTGATGGGCTTAGTCTAGTTTCCACCCCTCTTCGCTACCCGAGCTGATCGAGCCCAATAGAGATTTGGCTATCAGAATACCTAATGGCCACCAGGCCCAAATCTAAACTATCTTCTGCTCAACTGTCTCCATGGTGATAAAATGCAGAACATGCCCGTTCTTGACCAACAGAAAGGCTGTATTAATGGTTTAACCCTATCTTGCTGCACTGTACAGGGAAATTAACTGAATCAAGAGGACGTCTCAATTTGTTCCAATCCTTTCAAGTTGGTAATTCAAGGTTATGATTGGGTATTTGGGTTCCTCCTCTCCTTTGACTTCGATCATGTTTTCGGTCCCATTCAGTTATTCAAGGTGGATTAATACATGGGATTTCCAGTTCAACTCATCCAGGGAGTCAGTTTATATGCAGAGGACAAGCCACTCGAGTTTACTTATGAATACAGAAAGAGATAACTTTCTTCATCCCCCTCCAAAAGGAGTCCGGATCTGGTGACTAAGGGGGGGTGCTTAGTCACTTGGCTAAGCCCCCCTCAGCCCTTGGATCAATCTAATGGTGTAGAAAATGGAAGGACTATTTTATTAATAAGAAGGGCAATTCTGGAATTAGGAAAAATTCAAAAAAAAAAAAAATTTCCACCTTCTCTTCTGCGCTGCCAGCCACGGGATGAAGAGGCGACGATGGAAAAGAGGCGACCGGCGGCGACGATGGAGAGAGAGAAAGGAGACCTCGACCACGACGGCGACGGCGACGGCGACGATGGAAAGAGGGAAAGGAGATCGCGACGGAGGCGAAGGCAATGGCGGAGAGAGAGCGCCGGCGACAATGGAGGAGAGAGAGGCGGCGCGACGATGGAGGAGAGAGAGGCGGCGCGACGATGGAGAGAGAGAGAGGTTGCGATGGCAGTAGATTGAATCAGCGGCGGCAGCGGTGGAGAGAGAGTCGACGGCGGCGGCAGCGGTGGAGAGAGAGTCGTCTGAAGGAAGAACAGTGATTTGTATAGTTTGTATGTTTTGTAACATTAGTTTGTATTGTTAGTATTTTTGTACAAAATGTCAGTATGGTTTGTATGTTTTTCTTTGACAGTTTGTACTCATAGTATGTTTTTCTTTGACAGTTTGTACTCTTAGTATGTTTTTCTTTGACAGTTTGTATTCTTAGTATGTTTTTCTTTGACAGTTTGTATTCTTAGTATGTTTTGCTTGTATTCTTAGTATGTTTCGCTTTGTATTGTAAGTACTAATAATTTGTATACTTTATATGTATTGATTTGTGATGCAAAAAACATTACAAACATGGTTGACAAAAATGTGGACAAAAATAACAAACATTACAAACAGTACAAAAGAAACCAACAAACATTACAAACATTACAAAATAACAAACATTACAAACATTGCAAACAAACATTACAAACATTACAAACAAACATTACAAACAGTACAAAGCATACTACACGTACAGAATATCACTACTTACAATACAGATTGGTAAACTTGTATTACAAACAAATGAATACAAAGTATACAAATCATAACATAAAAGTATACAAACTTGAATAACAAAAGTTACAAATACAAATCAATGAATAGAAAGTGTATAAATCATAACATAAAGTATACAAACTAGACAAACAAACATTACTAACATTACAAACATTACAATGTATACAAACTAGACAAACAAACATTACTAACATTACAAACATTACAATGTATACAAAATAGTAATATAAACATTACAAACATCACGAACTCAAATACTGTTGTCGGAAAACCATCCACCACCGTCTCTGGTCGCCGGAAAATTGCTCCGCCGTCGCCGGAAAAGCTCTCTCTCTCTCTCTCTCTCTCTCTCTCTCAATGGCGCAGGTTGGGGAATTAATGGCGCCCCTCTCTCTGTGGACTGTGGTGGGAAATAATGGCGCCCAGACCAAGTTGCCGGCGGCGCAATTATTGGAACGGAGATGGGAGGCGACGGGAAGAGACGGACGGCTGGGTTAGTTTTTTTTATTTCTTTTATAATTAAAAATTAAAAATAACTATGCAATTACTACATTGCCCTTCATTAAATTGGATTAATAAGAGCCTTTGGATTTTAATGAGGTGCAATGGTGGAGATTTACTTAGCCATGTGACTAGGGGGTCCCCTTAGTCTCCCCCTCCAAAAGCCAAGCCATACTTGATTCTACTACAACCTGTGTAACGTGGAGGAGCTCAGTTGAAAGGGTTTGAGCAGTAACCGTCTCCAGCCAAACTTAGCAAGTCTCAGTAATCCGATCGCAATCTCCATCCTTGTGCTACCACCATCCCGATCGGAGTTCTCATTCTGGCATTTCGTCCAACACCAGAGGTCCAGAGCTTCCAACTTTTCAAACAACGAAAACCCGTTATTTTATTTTTGGTTCATCAAATTAAACAGTCACTTAGCCATTTTCAGCACAAACAAGGATCTTCCCAATCTCAACAAGTAAATTACAAACAAAGAGCCGGCCGCCCGGGGGGAAGGGGAGGCAAATGTTCCGGCGGCCGGCGATTGATTCGATTAAAATGTGGGGGCAAAAGACGGCCGCTCAAACTGCAATGGACTAGGGCAGCAGAGCGGCAATGGAAGCCTCCGTCTTTACTGTGAGCTCATCACACTAACGTGCGCCACAATTGAAACCTTTTCTCGTGGAATACCACGCCACCCCTGACTCAAGAGGTAAAGCGCTCGGCCTTGAGCTCTGCTTGCTTCTCTTCCTCCCAGTCCCCTTGCCTCTGGTTTTATACTGTTGATCCACTAGGGTTTGACTGTTTCACATTGACCCTAAACGACGTCATTTTTCGACTACCCTTTTCCCCCAATCCACTTTGAACTTTGAAGGCTGCCGGTGAAACGACCGGCGGAAAGAGAGTGCATTTCTCGACTCTCGTCGAAGTTTTTATCTTGAAAATACTGGAATGGGAAGAGTTCGTTTCAATCTCCACGCTGTGAAGGTACTTATCGGCCGTCGACAGGTCCACGGATCGCCGCTTTCCGGTTCAGATGTCAAGTTGCGGCGGCCGCAACCTGCTTTACCAAAGTCATTACCGATTCCCGACCTTCATAATCCGTATTTGAATCAAAGCCCTAATCCTCCTGAAGTTAAGTACTCGCAGCATGAGTTCGCGACCCTCTGTTGTCTTCTGAGAGATTCCAATCTCTCTCCCGGTTCTTCCCTCCAGAATGCTTTGGACCAAACGGGAATCGAGCCGCAGCAGCCTGGTCTGTTAGAGGCGGTCTTTGAGAAATTCGATTCGTCTCCGAAATTGCTCTACTCAGTGTTTCAATGGGCCGAGACGAGACCAGGGTTTCGGTGCTCGGAGGTGCTGTTCAACTCGATGGTCAACGCACTTGGGAAAGCGAAGGAATTCGACTCTGCATGGTCTCTGGTTCTAGATAGGATTGATGGAGATAAAGATCTTCAGTTGGTTTCCAGTGATACATTTGCCATTCTCATCAGAAGGTTTGCTCGTGCAGGTAGGTGTTACTTTAGACTATTCAGTTTTTTGCTTACAAGTTCTGCAGTTGCTTTTAGTATGCCCGAATTGCAATCCAAAGTTCAAAACTTTAGTGCCTCAATCTTTGTCTCATTGATTGTTAGTATGGACACTGATCAAGTTTGAAGGAGAGTTGGTGCCTTGAAAATGCAGGATTTGGGGCCTTCCATTGTTTGTAAGCTGTGCTTTATATTGGTATATATATATGATCATGAAGCAGTAACTGGCATACCTCCTTTGCTGCAGGATTACCTGAAGCCGCAATCAGGACATATGAGTATGCAAGAAATCTGGACTTGGTTGAGAAGCCAGATGCTGGAATGCGCTTGCTTGAGGTTTTGTTAGATTCTCTTTGTAAGGAAGGGCATGTTCGGGTGGCTGCAGAGTATTTCCAGCGTAAAAAGAAGATGGAACCTTGCTGGGTTCCCGCAATTCGTGTATATACTATACTTTTGAACGGGTGGTTTCGGTCAAGGAAGCTCAAACATGCAGAGAGACTTTGGTTTGAGATGGAGAGGGATGGTGTGAAACCGACTGTTGTGACCTACGGTACCCTTGTAGGAGGGTACTGCAGAATGCGTCGTGTTGAGATTGCACTTGATTTGGTGGATGAAATGAGAAGAAAAGAAATCAAGCCCAATGCTATCATCTACAATACAATTATTGATGCACTAGCAGAAGCCGGCAGGTTTAAGGAGGTTTCTGGGATGATGGAGCACTTGTTACTATGTGAATCAGGCCCTACTCTCTCCACATATAATTCTTTGGTTAAGGGGTACTGCAAAGCTGGAGATCTTGTGGCCGCTAGCAAGATCCTTAGAACGATGATCGACAGAGGATTCATTCCAACTTCTACCACATATAACTATTTCTTCAGGCATTTTTCAAAGTTCCGGAAAGTTGAGGAGGCAATGAATTTATATACCAAGATGATTGATTCTGGATATTCCCCTGACCATCTCACTTACAATCTCTTGTTGAAGTTATTGTGCGAGGACGAACGGCTAGACTTAGCTGGTCGGATTAGCAAGGAAATGGAAGTGAGAGGATGCGATATGGACTTGGCAACTAGCACAATGTTGACTCATCTACTGTGCAAGATGCACAGATTTGAAGAGGCAATTGCAGAGTTTGAGAAGATGTTGCGGAAGGGTCTAGTCCCTCAGTTCCTTACTTTCAAACGATTGCATAACGAGTTAAGCAAGCGAGGGATGAATAAGATGGCTCAGAAACTAAGGACCATGATGTCGTCAGTCCCTCATTCCACAGAATTACCCAATACCTACGATGGCGATGGAGATTCATCGCGATACGCAAGGAGGAAATCTATTTTGCACAAGGCTGAAGCTATGTCTGAGATTCTGAAGACGTGCAACGACCCAAGGGAGCTTGTTAAGGGTAGAGGTCCTTCTCCGAATCCTCTATCGAGTGCTCGTCAGTTGACGATGGATATCAAGCGAAGAGCAAACTGATATGAGAAATAATTTAAGTATTAGAGGGCCAATTCTCTCTTCTGCACTTGTTATACGCTGGCCTAAGTGTCATATATGCATGAATTAGAGCTCAAAGGCCAAAGAAGTTGGCCGAGACTCGAGAAGAGGGTAACTGACGTTGCGGTTGGGACACAGAAGAAATGGTCTCTTGATTGAGTTTTGAAGAAAGGTTTTGGCCATGGGGCCAAGTTCAGCGTATACCCATTTGTTTATTTCCATGCAGTAGCTCTCAAAGTTGGCAGCTTGGCGCAAGACATGGTCCACAAAAGAGAACATTTTGAAGGGTGCAAGACACACCAACCGTATAAGAGTGTTAAAAATTCTTGCTTCAACTCCAGACTGCGATGGCTGGAAGGGGTCCCCAACTGCTGCTGGTAATCACCTCAATCGATTCCTTTTGAATTATTGGCATAATAATAAAAGAAAGTAAGCTTATTTGCTTTGTCGATTGCTATTCAGACACACAAGTGATGATGGTTTTCTTTTGTCATGCTCGATTATTAATAATCAGACTAGTCGGCTGCAAAGAAGAAGAATTGCAGAGGGGATCGGATAATGGGGGAGATTTTAGGGCTATAGTTTTGGTTGGTGGAATGTGACCTAGCTGGGTGGAAGATTTGTGTGATCAAAACAAAACCAAATGTTGGAAGGGAAATGGCGCCCCCCTGCATAAAGTTGAGCACTTGAGATAGTGCATATTGGCTGAAGAATAATGTTTGCTGGCGTGTGAATATTTGTGGATTCTCCATTTCCATATTGCTCTCTGTCTCTCTCTCTGGTTTAAAGTGGCAACTTAGACTAGGGTGATGATGAAATGATTAGATGTGAAAAAACCAAATGTAAAGGCTGTGTAATGCATTCAAGCTTGAACTTTTGGGTGCATATTAACTGTTATAATGTGCCAACCTCCTTTTGCCATACGCCAGTCTAGGTCCTTGTAAATTCTCTTTCTCTCAATGTAAGGACTAAGAAGTCTTATGTATGGATTGTTTGAGTAACGAAATTTGTCTTCTAAATAGAGTATTTGTCCCACTTATGATGGTCGTACAACTCAATTCGATATAGTGTGTTGTGTGTTCAGAGAAGACGTGGTATAATATTTGCGTTGTTGACTACTAATTTTGAAGTTATATTTTTGGATGAAGATAAATAATCTGTATATTTCTGTATATATAAGAGTGGAAGCAGTATATTATAATATTTTGGAGTCTTGATAATTTGTAAACTTGATAAATGTCACCCTATACATGTCACATTCATAATCAATGTAGACATTCTCTATGTTAACTAAATAGGAGGCACGTTATTTACCCATAAATATGAGTATAACCATCTCTAATTCGACATATGTACAATGGAATCTTACTAAACAAAATTCACCATAAATTCGAAATATCATTAGATAATTCATGTTTTACTTGTGTACTATTCCTTTTCCCCCCAAAGAAATTAAGTACTATTTTCATTTGAACTATAAAGTATACTCAATCATAACATGCCACTTATTAGTTTACCAATAGTTCATGGATCAAAATTTGGCTTTTACAGAGCATGGTGGGAGATCTGTTTTCTCCTTCATCATATTGAGTAGTTGGGTTGGATGTTCAAAACAGAAAAGGTTGAGAGAAAAAGGTGTTGGCATTATTGGAACCCTGCGGCCCAAAAACCTCTCCAGCCTTCCCCCTCGTGTTTCTCCCCCACTACTACCACTCCCCACAAAAACAGATAAAAGAACATTTATACCCTCCAAAATCCAGAACTGAAATATAACATTTCCAGAGACAGACAGAAAAACAGAGAGCAATGGAGATTGGAGAGAGAAAGTGGGCATTAAAAAATTGATTTGAAGAATCACAATAATTCCATAACAACACACAACTCACATCTACTTATTCATTCTACTCAGAGAGGAGAAAAAGTTTGAAGCTTTTGCTTTTTAATGCTCTCTCCCTCTCTCGGTTCGAAAAGACTCTTGCTGCTTGCTTGCTTTCTCACTTTGCTGTGCTCCATAGCTCGATTCTCTCTTTCTCTATCTAGCTTAGCTTTGGCCTTTGGCTTTTTGCTTTCCTGAAAATCGCGCCCCCTTTCTTCTCCCTCTCTATACTAAGGAGGAAAAAGGGAGGAAGAGGGAATAATGGGTATTTTTAAGATTCTGAAGTACGAGATGATAGCGGCGGCGGCGGGGACGGTAGTTGTGGCGGTGGCGGAGAAGAATCAGCGGCTGGACTGACGCCCGGAGTGAAGATGCTACGGTGATAATGGCTCAGCAGCAGCAGCAGCAGAGTAGAGATGGCAGCAATGCCAATTTTTCGCACGGCATTTCTATGAGTACCCAACAACAGCAGCAGCAGCAGAAGGAAGTGAAGGTTGGGGCAATGTTTCATGATTTTCTGGGTATGAAGCCAGGCAGTAGTAGTATTAGTAATAATAACAATGATAGCAACAGCAAAAACAACAACGAAGCCTCTGCAATTTTGGCCTCTTCTAGAAACCCTGATGCCTCTCCTTCTGCTTCTCAATCTCTTGGGGCTTCCTCTGCCGGCGCCGGCGTTTCTATTCCTGGTGGCCGCGGTGGCGGAGGGCTCCTTTCCACCGCCTCTGATCTCGCCAGTGGTAAGTTGTTGCATCTCTCTACTTGGGTTTCTCATTTCTGCGCAGAAAGTTCATTACTTGACATTTCTTGGTTGGTTTTGGTCTGATTTTGATGTTAAAGTGGGAACCTTTTAGCTTTACCCCGTTTTTGCTTCGTTACTCATTGATTGATAGTGAAATGAGAATGCAGGATTCGTCGGAAAACCAGAAACCAGAAACCAACCTTGTGTGCTAGAGAATGGAGTGGGTTTATTTCTTATCCATTAGTTTAAATTCATAAATTGAGTGAAGTAATGGAGTTGGTAGCTAACTTTTGGAATCATTCCCTCTACTGCATTGTCTTGCATTGTTTCATTATTTTATTCTAGTGACGTTTCAGTGTTGATTAGCTAACAACTGGTTTTTTGGCACTTCTCATTTGGTTATGGAGTGTTGGTTCGGTTAAGCTCTCTTGTCTTGCTTGGTGTTTGCAGCTCCCTTCGGTCAGCATTGGTTTTACCGTTCTGAGTCTTACCTCATTGTGCCTTTTATGATGTATTATTTTTGTAAATTACTATGCACCCCTTTCTCTCCCCATGGTGAGACGCTTGTATCCATGGCGGGGTGAGTAGGTATTCGCGAATCTTAGTTGGTCTTTCCATGGTTGCGTAATGTGTTCATGTTTAAAACCTTTGTTACTGATTGGAGGTCTTGTTGGTGCTCCTTTTTAGAAAGACAGGTTCCAAGTCATCTAGAAGGAATCCCATATTATGTGCCAAGAAGTGATCATTCTGTAGCAGGAAGTAAAAGAAGCAACTCGGATTCTACCTTTACTGCTAGGGACGGAGTCCCACAAATCATCGGCCATGACTCTGAAAGCCTGCATTTGATGAAGGTGAGCTTCAGGATGTCCACCAATCTTTGTTCATCCTGTCAACATCCAACTATAAATGATCCTTCATATTTTACCATTTCCAAATGCAGATGCTGAGGAAGGCAGGTCCAGGAGAGATACCTAAGCGATCAGCAGATGATGATCAGGGCTTGTTTCATGTGCAGTCAACAAAGCCTAGTTCTGCCTCACTTATATTGCAACCTTCTACTCCTGGAGGTAGACTTGATCCTAACAAGTGGGAAAGATCTCCGGTGCAATATCCTCCTCGTGGGAGTCATTATGTTCCTTTTACCCACCAACTCAATGCAAGCAGATTGGGAGGGGAAGCCACTGCTGCTGGTCCATCAAGTATCTCTCAGGCGGCAGCTGCAGACGAAGGATCCAGAACTGGCATCAAAGGCTCTGGACTTTTAAGCTCCATTAATGCTGGCTCTGGTAATTCAGAAAGAAATTATACTGGTGTCAAGGCAAGTGGTAGCAAACCCAGGCCTGGTATTCACATTTTAGAAGCAGAAGCTTCAACTCCTTCAAGGTGGTGTTGCTAATATGCCGTAGTGCTTACCTTTGATGTTTCATATTCTCAAAATGCTTTGTACTGCTTAAAGGCATTTATTGTGTTTCTATACCTTTTCAGTCGCCAGGATCTAGCATCTGCAAGTCGGCAAATGACCATATTCTATGGTGGTCAAGCACACGTATTTGACGATGTCCACCCCAACAAGGTTTGTCTTCTATCCATTTACAGCTCCAGTGGAGACATCTGCCCCCTGATGGGGTATGCATTTCTATCTGCAACCTTTGGTAACCAAAAGCTGATTATGTCTGATGAACCTTCATGGTAATCCAAGTTAACCACTTTGCTTGAAAATCAAACCTGATCAAGCAACTTGTTTTGATAATTTGGTAGTGCACTACAAATCTGAGGCTTGGGATCTTAACATTGCACATGAATTTGTGTGGCTGACAAGTAAAATGTTTTGAACTGAAACTTGTATGGCTGACATGTCAAATGTTTGTGACGAACAACTGTTGCTCTTTTCTGGATGATCTTAGATCCTCTTGGTTGAAAGAGAAGCAAGTGAATGCCCGTGGTTTAATTGCAGACTGTGAACTACTGTTGCTTACTTGCTTCTATAGCTAGTCTATGTTCCAGGGAAAATTATTTTCATGCTATTTAGTTCACTGAGAGCAAAGCTTGTGTTTTTTTCACTTTTTCCTTTCCACTGGCTTGGACTAAGAGTTCCAAGTCGCTTGTTTGTAATGTTTCACCAAGTATGGGATAATGTTACTCATTCCCATCTTTCCCTGCCCTCTCCCCTTCGCCTCGGCAGTATTCCTTTCAGACATTGGCTCTTATGCAATCCTTAAAGGTGTATGTCTATTTGGACCCTTCATTGCTTGCTCCAACCTGATTCATCTGTACATATGAATGGATGTGTCTGTCAAAGCAAAATAGTATAGACACTAAAAATGCCAAGAACAATATAATAAAGTCCCTCCTTCAAGTCACTGAATCAGAAGCTGCCTGCCCTTGTTTCTAACTCCTTAGGATCATTTGAGCCAAGGTACCCTGACGTGATCATTGATTGCTACTGCTGGCTCATGTTTTTCTTCAGGCCGATGTTATAATGGCGTTGGCTGGATCAAACGGGATGTCATGGTCCACAACTAACACGCCAAAGGCTGCCCTTACTACGAGACCAACTGGTGGTGGGGAAACTTCCATGGGGAGTGGTGGAGAGTACGACGCAGGTAATGCAGGAATCAATGCCGCGCTATTGGAGCGTGAGCTTCGAAGAAGGCTGCCAGTTGCCAATAGTCCCATACCTGCAGGGGTACCCTCCAGCGACCGGATGATAATACGACCAACTGGTGAGGATTGGAAATACACGACTTCCCCACTGACAAATGCATTTCTTGACCTTGATTCATTAACTAATAAGAAATGGATATGTTGCATTGTGTGATGGATTTGTTAAGGTGGTCATCATCATGGTGGTGGCAGCAGCATTGTGTTAGGAGGTGGTAGAGAGACGAGAAACCAAGACCGGAATGTACAAGGAAGTGCAGAAGAAAGAAGGGATGTTTGATGTTTCTTTGAATTGTTGTAGAAGAAACAAGTTGTTGCTCTTGTTGTTGTTGAAGAAGGGTTGTGAAGTATGGTTGATTGGTAGAGAGTTAAACGAATTCTCATCCCGTTTAATGTGAGAAAAAATGGCTTTGTTTTTCACTCTTATACAGATAGCAAGCATCTTCCAACATGCTTGATCTTTCTTCCCTTTGTTTTGTTTGTCTTTCTTTCTTTTATGAAGGCCAGAATATAAGAAACTGAATAGCAGGAAACAAAAAGCAACTGTTTCACAGAGAAAGGAAAGAAAGACAGAAGGGTCCATAAAGAGTGAGCTTATGACTCCCAAAGAAGCAGGAGAAAGCAATAAAAACAAGGGGTAGAAAACACTCCGCAGCTGCAGCAAACCAAAAACAAAAAGGAAGGGAGACCAGCAAAGCAAAGCCTATATAGAAGAGTAACAGCAGCAGAAAAAACAAGCACAACTGCCAAAGAAATGCTGGAAATAGAAAGTAGAAAACATTCAACCTGCTGCAAGAAAAAAAGAAAAAAAACAGCATGTTTAAAGATCTGAGCAAACCAAGCAGATGGATATTAAAGCATGGGCTCACGCCTCACTGTGATCCAAACGTCTCGGCTGATTGCTGAGACCAGTATTACTCTGAAGGCCCAACAAAGATTCCTTTGGTTGCACAATTTTGAGCCCAGAGCATGGGCTCACTTGGCCCAGCTGGAAAGCTGACCTGGTCGGCCTCACGTCCGTCTGATGATTTCGTGAGCCACCGTGGACTGTGGTGACCATAACTGATAACCACAACTTGCACAACCATCTCAACCAGCTACGGCCTATGTGCACTAATTTTTTTTTACAAAAAAAATAATCATATATTATTGAAAGAACAGATCATTACATCCTAGAATTTAATCCGTCAGAAAAAAAATAGAAAAAGACAAGTAGCCGAGTACAGAAAAATTACCTTTCTATCCACCAAAGGAGCTACCCTATTACTACTCCGACCTACAAATCGTACATTAAAACTAGCGTGATCATTCAAACATCGGGTATCAATATCCTAGTATCAAATATGAAAATTTTGAATATCTAATAGTGTCTAAAATTCATTCTCATTTTCACTCCCAATCCCCAAATCAGTTTGGTATCCAAATTCCACTCCCGAAATTTTTTGTTCGGTATCGATATATACCAAATTAATTTCCTTCAAAATTACAAATCAAATATACAAAGTACTAACTCCACAAATCATTCTCAAAAATATATAAAAATAAACAATGGTGGGGTTCTAAAACTCGTGCAAAACAAATGGGAAAAAATCTCAAGTGTAATAACGACACGTTAGAAAAATGTGGTGTCTAAAAAGCACATTAATAAACTAAAGCAATAAACTGAAACATGAGATGACTAAGCAACCCATAAATATGCTACAAGTAACGAAATGGGTTTGGTATGAGTTGTCAAATAGCGAGGGAATGAGCTATGTATAATTAAGAGACCATCATGGTGGTTGAGGGCCTGGTAGTAATGAGTGAAGAAGTCTAGTTGTAAGGATAAAATACGCACTAGCTTATATTTTGGTATTGATGGATAATTTTGTATATACTAATCACAATCTCATAATCCCTATTATCAAATAATACTTGACATTCAACCTCAATCCAAATCCCAAGAAATAATACATGTATTTGATAATACTAAATATCAAGAAATTCGATATGATATTCGCTTATCTATAGGTACCAAAGTTCAAGTCCTAGTGACCCTAATAGGGATTGTAAAAATTGTCAAGGAAAATCAAGTTTGGGTAATCATTAATCAAATTTTTGGGTAAATTCATACTCAATTTTTTAGTTTAGGTTTAAATTATTGGACCTATAGTATTGGAAGTCCAAAACAAAATGGTTATCCGATTATAATGCAATTTTTATTTTATTTTTTGTTATGAAAAGGATAGAAAGGTGAAAACAATTACATTAAAAGTGTATAATTGGGTTGAAGGTAGTTAATGAAATAATTGACATTATTTTTTGTGCATACATTTATATAGACCCGATCAGAACTATTTGGATCTAATTCAAAGGAATTGACTCAAATAGAACTCAATTCATACCCAACTCAAACTCTTAACCATTAAAAATCCATGCATATGACTTCATTTGAATCCAATTCAATACCCATAATGATAATCCGACTCTAAACCATTAATTCGCTGGTCTTTCCAGATGTTACAATTTCTTAAATTTAATTACTTCCTCATTGTGAAGCTTTCGGTTGGACCCACCATCTTGGTTAGTATGCAAATGCCAAAATTTATGACAGCAAAAGAGTAATCAGTCTTTGACATTGATTGTATTATATTAAGACATCAAGAAAATATCAAACGCAAGGAGTTGCAGAAATACTATAGTATATTGCAGAGGAGGGAGGGATAGAGACAAAACACATAATTATAACAAGAAATTCCTTAAAAACTGCTGTTACAAGATAGTATGTGACAGAACAATTTTAGATGTTATATATGTAACTATTCTCGACTGTTTTTTGTTTTCTCTAATTTCTGATCCCCAACTAGCTAACAGGGCGGCTAATTTGTACCTTAATTAGCTCTTCCTAACCACAATTATCTATTCATTAAGGACATATAATTAGTCTGGTCTGTCCCTTCAGACATTTAGAGACTGATTAGCCACCTTCCATCCACTAATTATATATAATTACACTTCCTACCTTATCGTACTATTTCATCAATCAATTAATTTCAGTTGCTCGGGTCGTTGAGGGGGTGTAAGGATAAATATTGATATTAATTCATTGTCATTCTTGATTATATCAAGAAATTCGAGATTGAATCTTATATTATTCATTCAGGCATCCTTCAAATCAAAATCTTATGTGAGCTTCAAAGTTGGGGGAAAAGAGCTGATCATAGCTTTGTGCATCAATTAAGAGTATTAGTGTTGAAGGTTGGATATATATATGAAGAATTATTGTAGAAAACAAGTCATGCATATAATCTTTCGCCTTAATATTGAAAGTTAGATTTTGCTACGGTGATATGCATGTCACGGTGACATGCATTTTTTGGTCGACCTCATATAGGATTAGGTCGACCTAATCTATTGTTTCAGTGTAAAAACAGTTTCATGGTACCTACTTTGGAGATTCATATATTACAATTGGCTAGATGGAAATTGGAGATTAATGTCTTGTTTTGAAGATGAAGTGTCCCTCTACACATTAAAGTACTTGGGAGGTCGATAGGAAGTCCAGAAGACCATTTTTGAACATGATCAAAAGGCTATACCAAAACTGGGAAACTGCCTGCAAATGGCTAAGTCTGGGAACGTGTTTGTGAAACCTACTTTGGAGCTTAATTTGAGAAGCATGAATGCTATTCGAGTCCAGGAGCCTCTACCACGTTAAATTAGATATGTTTGTCTACAAAGGCAAGGCATTGGATGAAATATTGGATGCCAGAAAAACAGCCTTCATAGCAACTTCGACCCTTTTGTTTGAAGCATTATCCAATATTTCATCCAATGCCTTGAATTAGTATAAAAACATACCTAAGTTAACGTGATAGAGGCCTCTGGACTCGACTCGCATTCATGCATCTCGAATAGAGCTCCAAAGTAGGCTTCACAAATACTTTTCCAGACTTGGCCATTTTCAGGCATTTTCTAAGTTTTGGCATAGCCTTCTGATCAGGTTCAAAAATGGTCTTCTATACTTTCTATCGAGCTCTTAATCACTTCAATATGTAGAGGGACACTCCAGCTTCCAAACAAGCCATTAATCTTGAATTTCCATCTAGTCAATTGTATGATATGAATATCCAAAGTAGGCACCATGAAACTGTTTTTACACTGAAACAACAGATTATGTCGACCTAATCCTAAATGAGGTCGACCTAAGCCTAACTGAGGTCGACCGAAAAGTGCAAGTCACCGTGACATGCATGTCACCGTAGGAGCACCCTGAAAGTTAATTATTAGAACTGTACACATCATTGACATTTCAACCAAAAACTCTGATATCATAGTAAAAAATAAAAATCAATTGATCTAAATACCTCAAGTTGTTATAAGATATATCAATATCAAATACGACAGGGTTAACATATCATCTCGCATATTTTGCTCGAACTTATGCACATATCCCGTTCCACTACAACTTGCATTTACATAAAATTTCAATATTAAAATATTTCCAAAACTCCAAGAGAAAAAAAAAACGTTTATTGAAAATTCTAATATTACTTTAGAAACAATTCATCATAATAACCAGAGTTATTCGCGAGAATAAATATTAAAATCATCCCCTATTCATCGTAACCATATATATAATAAGCCCTAGCTAACCATCGTCGATCAATTACATAAATTCCTCTCATTCAAACGTTTTTATCAAATCAATCACTATGATCACCACCGCACTCTCAGAAGCCTTCGGCCAATACACCCTCAAACCCCACCAGATTGTCCCTCTCGACTTCCACTCCGTCGACACCTTGCCGGAAACCCACGTCTGGCCGCCGCCGCCGGGCCCCGAACTCGTGAACACCGCCGCCGGAGACGGGCAGCTGGTCTTCCCGGTTCCGGTCATCGACTTTTCGGTCCCCGAGGATTCATCAGGGAAGCTAATGGTGGAGGCTTGCGAGACGTGGGGCGTGTTCCAGTTGGTCAACCACGGGATTCCCTTGGAGATTCTGGCCGCCGTTGAGGCGCAGACCAAGCGGCTTTTTGCCCTTCCGGCGAGCCGGAAGCTGGAGGCGCTGAGGTCTCCGAACGGGGTCAACGGGTACGGGCAGGCTAGGTTTGCGTCGTTGTTCGATAAGAACATGTGGAATGAAGGGTTCACCGTCATGGGCTCGCCGGCCGACCACGCTAGAAAGCTCTGGCCCGATGATTACCAAGGGTTTTGGTGAGATCGATATATCTATCATTTTTAATTAATTGTTTCTTCTTTTCCTATCTCGATTCGAGTCAATAGATGGAAGCCTGACTTTGAGTCATATATATTAGAATTTTCGAATTAGGGTTACATTTCGTCGATGAGATTACTAAATCATGTCATGTTTAGTCACTAAAAAAAATTAATATAAATTTTGGTAACTCCAATTACTAAAACATATCACATTTAGTCACTCTCCCGTTAGTTTTGAGGCTAACGGAGAGTGACTAAACGTGACATGCTTCAGTAATTCGACTGGCATTCATACGAAGAAAAAAAAAAGTAATTCGAGTGACCGGAGTTTGACGGAGGCTAACGAGAGAGTGACTAGATGTGACATGTTTTAGTTATTCGAGCGGCCAAAATTGATGTTAATTTTTTCTAGTGACTAAACATAACACGATTTAGTAATCCCAGTTACCAAATGTGGCATGTAAACAATTGGATATTTTTGGATTAAATTCAGTTTATAAATGAAATATTTTTTTATTTATTATTAAAACATCAAGAGCAGGCCCAAGCTAAAAAACACTTTTTTTCCATTTTGCTAATGTCATCATCATAATGACTATTCATAATAATAATTAATAAACACAAATGTCATCATATATTACCAAAACACTCGTTTGTCCCTATTCTACTAAACTAATCCTATATACAGCTGAAAACTAAATGTGTCATTTTTGGACACCATTAGAGATAACGACGAGCCAGTGAGAGACTGCTTTGTTATATACGAGCCGATCGAGCACCATGTAACTTTCTTTTGTAGACTAATGATTCCATTTTTACCATATTTTAAGTATATGATACAATTTGAGTAGTGTTGGAGGCATGCAATACATTATTACTTATCTATATAATAGTTAACAAAACGTTTCTAATTAAGTTTAATAACCAAGTTATTAGATCTAATTTAAATTTGATATTGGCAGCATATATGTACAATATCAACATCGAAGGTCAACTTTAGACATGACCTTTTAACCACGGGTTTATGAAATCATGTTTTTAACAGCGACGTCATCGAGGATTATCAAAAGCGCATGAGGGAACTCGCCGCCAGACTCCTCGGCCTAATCCTCCGGTCAGCCAACACGCCGGCGCAAGAAATCCGGCGGATCTCGTCACCATCCGCCACCATGACGACACTCCAGCTCAACTCGTACCCGCCGTGCCCCGACCCGACCCGAGCCATGGGCATGGCTCCCCACACCGACACTTCCTTCCTCACCCTCTTATACCAAGGCGGGGTGAAGGGGCTCCAGATTTTCAGCGACCGCGGCGGCGGCGGAGGTGGCGGAGGGTGGGGCATGGTGGATCCGGTCGACGGAGGCATCACGGTGAACGTCGGCGATCTGCTTCATGTGGTTTCCAACGCCCGGTTTCACACGGCTCGGCACCGGGTGGTGCTGAGGGAGGCCAGGCAGAGGGTGTCGGTGGGGCTCTTCTTTGTCCCCACGGCGGACTGCGTCTTGTCGCCGTTGGCGTGCGGCGGCGGCGGCGGGGAAGGGGAAGTTTGTCGGTACCGGGCGGTGTCTGTGAAGGAGTATATAGGGCTGAAGTATAAGGGTTTCGAGACCGTGCTTTCTGCCATCACAAAATAATTAATTCATATAATCCAGTTGCTGTGTATATAGTTTTATTTATTAGTAATGATTAAGTCGTAGGGTTGGTATCTAATATCTATCAATGTTTTTGTCCATCTATATAAAAACATTAACGTTTCTATCTCGTAGGGTTGGTAACTTGCAATATACAAGATTGTCTTATTTTTGTTGGTATATATATACGCAAAAATTATGAATAAGAGCGGACCGGATGATCAAATCACTAAATCAAATTAACGGTGCAATCGAACAGTGATACAACATTATTTGGATAAATTGTGATAAGAAGGAAGAAAATCATTATCAACTTGGAGCAATTTTGGAATGAAATATGGTTATTTTTAAGATGGATCTTTTTTTTTCTTCCAGATTTGTTATTATTCCACGAATTAATTAATAAAAAAAATCTCTCAGTCTAGTATCATCTAGTCAACACAAATTTCTGACGTTCTAAATTACCTATTATAACGATTTGAGTAGTGAAAATTTTTCATTCCTTTTTTATGTTGACCATAGCAAAAAAAAAAATAGTAGTATTGGTCATCATTTCCACAGTAAGTTCGAAGAACAGTAACATACTAATAAATCGATGTCAAAATCATTAATAACCAGAACCTCAATCATTACTTGTCACCTACACATTCCTAAAACGTTAATAACCAACATGTTCTGTTTTTACTTTGCTATCTTCCCAATTAACTATCAAATTGACGGTGTTATGATGATGACATTGATGATTTGACAAAGAGCACATAGCTTATGTAAACTTTATAAAATAATACCCATTGAAAACTTAAACTAGCTTTCATAAAATTAAAATGGAAACTTTAACTAGGGATAAGTTGAATGGCTAGGCTAGGATGACGACGCTCTGTAAACTCACGACGTTTCCCTTTTGTGAAATGGATTCATTGACCAATTTGGAGTATTTGATCAGCATAATGGGATAACGATAAACATTAACCTCAAGTCGCAATCTATTGATAGTATTCTTTACAAAGTAAAAGATCATGCCACCTCATTCTGAATTGTTTAATTAGCTGTAACTATTCAATAGCGAAAGATTAGTTAAATTGGAGTGTTCCGAGGACCCGAATTTATTCAACGATGGGACGGAGAAAGCAAACAAGGACGACGATAACTTGCAGTTACAAGAAATCCAACCATAGGTTTCAGCAGCATGAACAAGACACCCATCATATTCTGTGATTACAAAGAAAAGAATCTTAATCGGACATACATATATCTTTTCCGTAACGCGCTGGGTTTCCTAAGCTGCAGATAGACCTCGGAGCCTCTCATTCTTTGAACATTCCTCCTGCAGAAATGAGAGACAAGCTTTTCAATAGAGGAGGGACAAAATGACGATTATTGTGTTACATGGCTGCAATTAGAATGACGATAAGAACAAGTTCATCCTACAACCATTGAGAAGGGAACCCGGAGGGCTAACCTGAAATGCTTTCAACAGAGAATAGCAATGCCTTTGCTCCGACATTGCAGCAGCATACTTCTTCTTGAGATTGCTGAGAGTCATCTGCTCCTCATCAAGTCCATTCTCCAACTTTCGTAGCTTCTGCAGGCAAGAGGAGACAGTAATTACCATTACCACCTTAATCCATAGACACCTAGATATGATTTGGCAGTTCACAATTGCAAAATGGGTAGGGTAGATGACCTGTTGACTGTTCTTCACAATTCCTTCCATTGAAGCTATGAGTTTCATGCGACCGTCAGCACTAGTAATTGCATCCTGGAACTGTAAAGTGTCGAAGGGGATGCTAGTCACAATTCACTCATGACAATTGTGTGCATAGGTTTTTGAAAATTCCATTTTCCTAAGCATCTCTCGAGTTAGGAAGCAGTCAGAACATGACAGAACTGTTCTTGATGAAAAACTTAACCAATCATTGCAAGCAAAACTAAACAAATTGTCAGCACAATATTGCCTCGATGGAATCTACATTTGAATATATGAACATATAGCCCGTTAATACATATATATATACACACGGAGCATGCTTTGGCGTATTTAATAACTATAATAAACATTGTAAGGCGCTTCTTCACAGCATTTAATTCACAAAAGTAAGACACAGATCACAGAACCTTGAACGATTTCTACCTGGGAATTTATTGAGTTCAATAAGGAAGTTTCTTTTAGCATCAAGTCTTTAATCTCCAACAGAGCATTATAGGTATCATAGTGTTTACGGGTTTGTTGGTGTTTCTCCTGACGAGATCAAACAGAGTATTCAGAGAAAGAAAATAGTGGGAAAAATCAACAAAATATTTGATGGAAACCCTCATCTCATACCTGGATATAAGCATTGAGTTCAGAAAGTCTACGATCATACCTGGAAAGAAAGCATGAATTCACTCGAATGGGCAATTCATTATGTATAAGGAGTAGCATAACATTCTATTAAAGCGATTAAGCTAAGCATGTAGAAAATTAACAACATACTGGATAACTTCTGCTTGAGTCGCCACATCATCAATCTGACGCTTCACTAACAGTACGGCCCTCAGTCTACCTGCCAGTTCCTACAAACATAAAAAAAACTAAACATTACCAACAAGAAACTTCTACAGCAAAGAAGTCATGTACAGACTCCATTACTAAGTTCCACAAGATACCTTCTTTGCTGAATCTAATTTCTCCAATGACATTTCCAGCAAACTATCCAGGCTCTCAGAAAGGCTCTCACTGTGAGAACCAGATTCCACCTTGTCCTCCAATTCGCAAACCTCGGCTTCTAATCCAGCACGTCTCGCATCATAATCAGCTCGTAGCACACATTCTTCATTCTCTAAGCTCTACAGAAGCATTCGAATAACCACTCCTAAATGCTTGCTAGGGCAAACAAATTGACACTCGTTATTAACGTGTTTCAGCGATTACCTTCAATGATTCGAGAATCGGAATCAGTTTATCAACGGCTGCATTACAACCAGAACCATCAATTCTCTCTCGCAACTTCTGCGATTCGCTCAGAACATCAGCCTTTCTCCGATTCTGAAAATTTCCGCGCGCAGAATTAAAAGCGAAGCAAAGAGGAAGGAAATGGAGCGGCTCTCTACCATTACAGTTTGTACTTAGGCGCCTTAACGAACCAAAAGCTCACCTGATACCTGTTCATTCAAGCTAACATTCAGCATCTGAATCGAGGCTCGGGTGCGATCCAGTTCTCGCTCAAGCAGCTGAAGATCGTCTTCTTCATCCTGCGTAATCGACGGATTAAGGAAAGAAAATCAATAATAAATAACTGACAAAGAAAAAAAATTATGGAGAAGTGCGCCTCCATTTCCGGCGGCTGAGCCTTACCCCGGCGTCGCCGGTATCTACGTGAGTTCGGGGAGACTCCATTAACGAACGGGAAATAATCTGAAAATTCGATGAATGACACAAGACAAGATAAAGATTGATGGAGGAGCGAGGTAAAATAAAATGAGATCACCCAGGAAGCCGAAATGTGCGGCCCATATTCAGCGGCCCGCAAGCCCATATAAGCCGTCAAATTTGAGTTTGGCATGGGATTGGGCTATTGTCAAACAGACAGCCCAGGATAGGGCCATTGTTGTTAAAAGACCGGGGTTGCTATAATAACCTTTTTGTCCTTCAACTTTTTCCTTGACAATTTTTGTCCCTCAATTTTCGTTCCTCGTCAAACTAATCTCTCAAGTCTCAACTCAAGTCATTTTAAATACAATCAAGTGAGCGAGGAATTTTACAATGCTATATAGCATTGGTGCTATAGGTTTTTGCCTTTATGGTACAACTTGAAATTGTACCTTTAACGTTATGATACAACTTCAGATTGTACCTATACTTTTGTACAAATTCTTTTATGGTACAACTTAAACTTGTACCTTATGTGATGGTACAACTTCAAGTTGTAAAGTTGTACCATAACATAATGATACAAATTCTTTTATGGTACAACTTAAACTTGTACCTTATGTTATGGTACAACTTCAAAGTGTACATTAAAGCACCAATGCTATATATCATAGTAGAAGTGCTCTCAAGTGAGCAAGTTGATAGTTAATAAACACCCACCTAGATAGGGTAAAACCATATCAACATAAAATATCCAGTGGCACGGGTAAAATTTGAAGTCGAAATTGCAGGTAATGAGCAGGTATGATTTTCTCACTATCTAATCCGAACTCGTCCGATTATATATGCATACACAATATTTGTATAAATCATTATTTTTTATTTTAACATATTCTCAATTCCTAATATATTTGTAGCATCTCATGAACACAAGGTTCGTCATGTAGAGTGAGTTAGAACTAGTGTTCCTGTAACACCCTACCCTATACGTTTTGCCTAATCATATTATTCATACAATTGCAGCGGAATTAATCTCGGGTGTTACACTAATTATCAAAATTTATCCAAATAAAATTTCGACATGAATTACTCGCGTAATGGGCTAAACAGTTCTTCCATCTGATCCTGCAAAATAATTCATCTAAATCCATGCATTCGTAGACAAACATATACACTCACTGCCATATGCATTGGCTTTTCATAGCCATAGTCACAGTTTCATGTTACACAACTGCATACTATACTGATACATGCCATAATCGTCACAACTTACATAATTACACAAATATACACATATCATCAACTTTCCACACCTGTGGATAGCTCACACTACATCAGAAGCTAGTATGCACATGAAAAACGTTCTCAAAACATTTTTACAAAAAGGTGTGGATCACTGGCCAAAATCCCGAGTAGTAGTCCAAGCACAGAATAGTTGAAGACCATACCTCATCTTGCCTTCAACTCTTGCTCAGCTCCCACCTATACAACTATCTACTGCTGCTGATGACGATGATCTGCTTACACATGGCATAAGCAGAGAAAAAGGATAAAGAGGGTCAGCTCATAGCTGAGTGAGATAATCATAGCATCGTGAGTTCATAACAGAGCATACCCCTACCATACATCTAGCAAATAAGCCCAAGCACTAGGATCAGACCTCAGGCATCCGACATCCCAATAGGCAAAAGACTCAACCACCTTGACTTATGCATATGCATCTTATCATGTTTTAATCATAGGCGCCTGGCTACTCCCATGCTAATAACTCTCCCGGGAAACATACCCCACATCCCGTCGGATGTAGTCATACATACCCCAACATCCCGTCGGATGTGGTCATACATACCCCACACCACTATGGGTGTAGTCATACCCCGACACCACTCTGGGTGTGGTCATATCTCGTAAGAAATCTTCAGTCACCACCACAAGAGAGGTGTGACTATCATACATATCATAATAGAGTAATAGCATGGGGAGCCCTAATTACTATGTAGTTGACCGTGAGACCACAACACTCATATTTGGTATCCTTATTCATGATTCATATCTCATCTTGCTTAATCATAATTCATTACTTGCACATGTACTTGACCTGGCCATAATTGGCTCAACATAGGTAAACCAGGAGTCGTATAATTGCACTTCCTCGGGATAAACCCTCGTGCAAGTCATCCTCCTTAAACATCATAATATCACCAGGAGATATATATTTTCCCACTTGTACATCCAAATACATCAATCATGAAATGTCATACTCAATCACCTTTTCGAACCATCATAAGGCATATCAACAGTCAAGCCCACAATTTGCAACATATACGAAATCATCAGCATAAACAAGGTTCATATCGATTAGGGCAAGTCAATAATATCATACAACAATCCAGGGTTCAACAGATAGCACAAAAGTTCATACACCCCCTAATCATGCCATTCTAGTTCACCTAGGTCAATTCTAAGCATCAACATAATTATCGTGATACGACAAACCCGGTATGCCGTGCTAATCCCTCACCAGTTCTGGTCGTTCAAACGCCGGTTCTAGCCTCCCGTACTAAAACGTCAATTTCACGAACGAACCCCGAATTAAAATCCGAGACTGTCCTAATATCCCCTGCAGTATCCCCGTCAATATTAGTTCTAGGCTCCGGGTCAAATTCTTGATAAAAACACATCAAACCCTGGTCGGAGCTAAATTCAGCGATCCCGGCTCCGACCTAAATAATAGCCGAAATTCAGGGATTAGAACTAGAGGATTGATTACCTCGCTGCAGGAAGCTCGTATATGAAATTTGGGCTCAATCCGGCTTCCGGATACTCCGAAACCCTAATTTGGCTTATCGGGAATTCAAGAAATTCCTGAACCAAAAGCTCGTTTTAAAGCTCTAAATCGATAAATCACGATGAATAGATGAATTAGGCATTACTTACGGGATTTTTGGATCACTAGGGCTCAAGATTGGAGCTTTTGAAATTTTTGGCCGAGCGCTCCGTGAGTGCTCTGTTTCTCTGGTTTTCTCTCGGTTGAGAATTGGAAACGATGATGAGAATAAATGGACAGGCAGGGGGAATTAAATGTACCGAGTAATATATATATATATATTTAATTAATACGTATACTTATCCGATCGATCGATAATCCGATTTTCGTCGAAATACTGCCAAAATGATCGATTTTAAATCGTGAAATTTTCTAGTGGCAGTAATACGATTTTAGTCGAAACGGGGTGTTACAGTTCCTTTTCATTATTTCTCTTAGTATTGGTGATTAGTTATTTATAATTTCCACTTCAGTAATGTTAATATGTTTGTTATTAGCTAGTAACATGGTAAATATGAATTATTAGCCAAATTTTTTCACATTCTTTTTTATTAGTCAAACCTATTGAATTATTAATAATTAATCAAATATTTCAAATGCATCAAAATATTAGCCTTCTGTTACCGTTAATAACTTATTTTTAGAGAGAGAGAGTGTTACCGTTAATAACTTTGTAACTCTCTTTCTTAGTTAACATACTAAAGTTTTGAAACGTTAACCTACATGTGTCTCTTCCAAGTTAGCATCATATTGCCAAGTCAAAATTTCATGATTTTTTTTCTCTTAATTACACATTGTAACTAATTAAGCCCAACTAAACTTATCCTTTTTAAGATATTTGAAAACAATCTATTTTATACCATACAAAAACTCAAAAGTAGATAAATATAACTTTCATTTACTCAATGGACAAATTGCTCATTAGATCTCTTTTTTCTCCTTACAAGTTACAAACAATCACACATGCACTATAACATTAAAAAAAAAAACACTTTACTTCCCAAGGTATCCCACTGTCCCTCCAGGCATATACAACAATATACATACCAAAACCACCACGACAAAAGAGAGACAACATTATTAATCACAATTCACAACGCTTAATCAAACACACGAGACAATCACAACTTTACGAGACACACCGACATTACTTTATAACCGGCCAGAGACCACGTTAACCCCGACCGCAACCAATTAATCAAACGCCCTGCATGCATGCTCCTCCCTCAGTTAACAGCCAGCTGATCCCGATCATCGACGACGTCGGGCAAGCCAGCGAAAACATCGAGGGCATCGTCCTTCAACGTGGAGACGAAGTAAGAGAGGAAGTCGGCGTAGGTGAAGCCGCGGTACAACGGCGGGTGGTCTTTGTCGACGAACTCCTCCGGCGCCTGGACCCTCGAGCCGTCCTTGGGCATCAAGAAGCTGCCCCACGAGTAGCGCTCCTTCTCCCCTCGGAGCACGACCCGGTGCCGAACCGAGTGCAGCCGCCCGTTGCTCCAGGCCTTGAGCGCGTCCCCAACGATGGCCACGAACGCGCCCTCGGGGATCACGACGGGGACCCAGGTGTTGTTGTCTTCTTTGGGCTGGATCTCGAGGCCCTGGACGTCGTTCTGGCCCAGGATGGTGACGGTGTTCTTGTCGGTGTGGGCCATAAGCCCGATCCCGGCGTAGTGGTCGGCGGCGGGAGGGGCGGGAGGGACTTTGTACTTCATGAGGCGGAAGTAGCTGGTGGTGGTGTCGGCGGCGTGGGATGGGGCGTCGTCGAGGTTGTAGCTGGTGAGTAGCATCTTGATTATGAGGAGGTTCAGGTCCAGCATCTTGGCGCTCATCTCGCTCAGTGACTCACTGTTGAAGTACATACATATAGACAGGAAATTAATTAAAGTGGTATAGTTAGAATGATATTCGCGCGTCGAAATGACTCTAGTTGTTGGGAGCGAGATTTTACAGCGTTAAAGTATCGATATCGGATTGTTTTCTTGGGTCGGATATAATGATGAACAGATACTGTTGAGGTTCTAGAAATGATGGTAACGTATAGGAAGGTCAACAAGGCTAGGAGGAGGCCAAATGATTTATTTACGATGGGGATAATCTGTGATTGGTCACTGAAGTTGACCTTTTGATAATAGACAACCTGAAAACAGCTGTTGATGTTTCCTTGCTGGGAGTATAACGTATTAAAAAAATAAACGGATGTATTTTAATCTATACCCTTAAAAAAGAATTAACAAACAAGGAATTGACAGAAGCCGAAGAAACATGCACAAACTAGGGCAGAATTTAATGGAAGGCTGTGTTTTATATATAAAGATAGATCTATAAAGCTGACTAAGGTGATATGTTAGGTATAATTCTGGTATTTTTTGGTAAGCCGTATCGTCTTTTGATTATTTGTTAATTAATTCAATTGTAAGTCGGAATGATTCATGTAGTGGTTTAATTATTATGTATCGAAAATTTTTAATAATTTCGAACTTGTTAATTATTTTTTGCTTCTGGTTTTTGGGGATTGGAACTTGTTACTTTGTAGCTGATATTCTGCGAGGACATGTGCAGAGTGGAGCTAGATCGAGATATACAATAAAAGCAAGGCTAGCTGCCTGGAAACACTCCCATTAAATTCAATCTGTTTTGAAAAAGGATAAGCCCCTAATAAATATAGAGAGGGAGGAGTCTAGTAGAATAGAATTAGCTGGTTCTGGCTTGTTATAGCATCCTCATGTCTAAATTTAATGCCACCCAATCGTTTTTTCACCACAGAAAAAGTAAAAATATTTCGAAGGTAAAAAGGAGGATAATTAATTGAAAATACAAATAATATCTTCCAAAATTTGTGGCTCAACAAGTTTTTTTTGGTTGTTGTTGCTCAAGTGGTATTTTTTATATATAAAAATCTAACTCCATTTCCCACGCCATTGAAAGTGACTTGTCTGATATGCCACAACGATCATCGGCTTGGTCAGTTCTATTGTTTTTTTTTGGGGACGTTTTTAAGGTTCAAGTGGAAAGACTAAAAATGGAATTACGATATTTTCATAGTATATAACAAAAACCACACCATCATCATCATCGCATATTTCACTTCAATTGCACTAGTAGTTGATCCTTAAAAAGTAGTTACCACTTGAAATCACGTTATTATAATATTATACGGTATAATTCGTACCAATTTGATTGAAAATATGCTCGTCAGGAGAAGAAAAATGAGAAGGATCATAAGATGAATGAATGTCGTTGAAATCAAACCGACTGTAGTGAATTACGGCAAAAATTGAGTTAATTATCCCAAAAGAAGAAGAAAAAAAAAGAGTTAATTGAATGATTTGAATTACCGGAATTCAGGGTTGCCTTGGGGCCACATGACGGCAGTGAAAGCCTCCGCCGCGTCATCAGCGTCGGGAGCCTGGTCGTCGATGCCGAAGCTCTCGAGGTAAGGGACGACGTCGTTCTTGCCCAGGTAGCTCCGGTACGGCTTAGGGCTGACGTGCCTCTCCTTGGTCTCCACGGGGAGGTCGAACAGCTGGCGCAGCCCTTCCGCCATCTCTTCCCTCAGCTTCGCGGGGACCTTCTCCGTCGTGAAGCAGAAGCAGCCCTGGATCTCGCACGCCTCCCGCACCTTGTCGCACATCTCCTTCCACCGCGCCACGTCAGCAATAATCTCTTCTTCCCCGGCAGCGCCCAAGTCAAAGAACGGGATTTCGTAGGGCTTCTGATCACCACCATTGGCCGCCGCAGGAACCACCATGGTTGGGAGTGAAATTATGGTGTAGTTTAGAGAGAGAGAGAGAGAAAGAGAGAGAGGAGAATGAGGGTGTTTGATTATGGAGATTGGAGGGAGATCGGGAGGGCATTTATTTATATAAAGGGTGTCCAGTCCACTTCAGATACGTCCAAAAGTTTGGGTGTAGAAAGGAGAGTTTACTTTGGGAGGCTATGAGTGGAAAAGAAGGAAATAAAACAAAAGGAGGGTTATTTTATATTTTATTGGTTTAGTTGTGTGATTTGAGGGGCCGCCCTCCACTAGCCGCCACTACAACTCATTCTCAATGGCAGAAGCCCACGATCATTTCTCGTTCTACATGGAGGATAGTATTATATACTCTTTTCAAATTGGGAAAAGGAAATGTGTGAAGAGAGAATGTAGGAGGTGAACAAAATGTATGTATGTGTTGTTGTTGTTAATGATAATCAAATGATAGATCCATCAGGTTTATGTTACATCTTCGGAGGTATAATATCGTTCGATGAACGAAATTGGTCGGTGTTACCGTTGATGGTTTCACATATCATGGCCACAATGAAAGAAAGTCAACGTATTCGTGCAATTGCGGTTAGTCTGGCTGCAGCGTCTTTAGTTGTGGTCATTTCGATGGCTTTCCTGATTACCCCCAATGAGAAGGAAAAAAAATGGGGAAACCAAAGTCATGGGCAAGGGTTGGGAAATGTTACAATTTGATTTAAATCATATATACGATCTACGCTCCAGACCAGATCCCACCTATATGGTCTGGTCTTATATGATTTGGTATGAACCAGAATGATCATGTTAAGTAAAAATTAAAAACATAACATTTTATTTGGCCCATCACACAAAATATTGGACCAATGACCGGAAACTCCTGATTTTGACATGCATGTGTAATCTTAATAGTTAATACCCTAAATTCAAGTAAATAGCAAAGATAGAAAGTAAGAGCAATCTAATTTCTACTCTAATGTCCAAAAGATTGTGGTATGTACAAGGAGAACTAGATTCGCGAAATTAGGAGATTTGGGCCTTGTTTGAAAGTGGGGAGAGTGGTTGTTAATTAACATGAATCGGAAAATGGGTTTGATCTACAATCCGTTTGATAAACCAACACGATCTGAACCAAACGAGCCTATAAGATCAAAACAACTCACAATAAAGATCAGAACAAATCCAACCATACCAAACCATTTTTGTGTCGCAGGCTCCCAGTATAGAATTTATTAGGGCACACAGGAAAAGTGCAATGTTGTGTCGCAGGCTCCCAGCTCAAAAACCCTACAAGATTAGGTAGAATTATACGTAACGTCTGATCGTTCACATGTTTATGTCAGCAGCTAATGACATTATTAGTATGATTAGGAAACAGTTACTCTTTGATTAATAATAATTTACCATTCTAGGGACTGAATATTTAGTGAGACGAAATGAACTTCCGGAAAAAAGAAGAGCAAGATCATATAGATATGTGAACAGGGAATTCCCTAAAACGACCGATCCTAATGAGAAGAGTTGAAAAGGTAGCATTGATGGCTTGCATTTGCAGATACAAATGAGCCAGTTTGCCTGTGATAGCGAACTTGCTCTAGTTTTGGAAGAATTCTGGATTCAAAGAGGACTATAAATTAATTATAAACTGATATGATACACAGTTAATTAAATAAGAACATGTTGGTTAATTACAAGTCATAATCTATGTACGCGCGCCTGAGATATTACGTTTAGTTATTCACACTTATTAGATGTACTTCGATATATTTCGATGAATCAGAATTATCAATTATTATTTTTAGATTGAATGAATCTTATGGTTTGAGTTAGAGAATTAGGGTCATGAAATAATCACCAGACCCATTAGAGTTTAGAATATAGTATCATATTCTAAATTTCAGTTCCGATGAACGTACGATAAGATTAGCGTACGTAAGGTGTATGCTAGCTAACCTGAACCACCGATATATATATAATATGTGTGGTTGTGGCCTGGGGTGGGGGAGGGACACCCATCAGGCAGCAGCAGCTGGTGCCCTATGCCTTTCATACTGACACTAGTTTTGAAGGGTATATGTATGTATTTATACAATAATAATAGGGTATCCCCACTTCACCATTAATGAATGAGAGGTTGCCAAAGTTGCAGAAACAAACACATTCTTTGTATAAAAGGGTCCCCTGCCTGCTGGAACCAAGAAGAAAACGTTTCCTCCAAAAGGAGCTAACTAGCTAGCTAGCTAGCTTTTGTGCAATTGAATTGAAGGGGGGTTGAGTCTGTTTGGATATGGGGCTGGTTGGCAGACCATCTTAAAAGTTTCTGTTTTGAGTTGGTTGCTACTTTGTGGAAGCAACCTAACTTCCAGTTCTCATCACCTCCTTTTTTTTGGGTCTAGGAGATCACCTTTTCTCAGTGTCTCTCTCTGCCTCTATTTGTTTCATAGTTCAAATGTTAGTTGTTAAGAAGTTTGAAAATTTTGTTTCGTGTCATATAGTAACTTTGTGTGTTTGAATCTCAGTAATTAACCACAGTAGTATTAATATCTGATTGGTGATAAATAATGAAGTGTGCAAATGAATGATATGTATAAGAAAATACTTTATATTTGGACCAATTATTAATATTACGATGATGGGTGCAATCACTTAATATTGCTATGATGTATATGCTCACATAATTAAGCTTGCGTGTAACTCAACAATATGTAAATTTTTTTTTTGGATAATTTCTTTATATTACGATGATGCATGCACTCACGTAACCTTTTCAATTCAGGGGTGGGCAATGGGTGGGTTGGGTGGGTTTTTCGTTTCAAATTGACTCACCCGCTTACTAGCGAGTTGGAATATTTGTGACATGCAATCCACCCACATTCTTCTGCGGGTCGGGTTGGGTAGGTGGCGGATGAGTGCGGTTGGGTCATGGGTTAACCTGCATTAGCAATTCTTCAACTATTCATTAAGAAAGTTGACTAACATTTATAACAAGTTCATATTAAATTAGTAAGACGGTATCAATTTAAACACTTATCACTTTGTCTCAAGTGAACCCATGTAGTATTTGCATAAAAAAAGTTTACTACTCTATCAACCAATTATGTAGAGAAAACTTACGCATTTTGTGATTTTGATAAGAATTAATAATTAAAATTTTTCATCTCAATATTTAATGGATACTAAAAATAATTTACATTCCAATATCCAATATCTAATGGATATGACACAACACAATAACCAATAATAGTAGTCAAACCAACATTTTTGTCATGTGAAAATAGGATGCGAGTCATTCGGGTGACCCGCAATCCACCCGCCACCCACACACATAAGTGCGGGTGGAAGATTTATCAATCCGCAATCCACCCACATCAACAGTCACTGCTTGCGGGTCGGATTATTTGCTAGTGGATCTATATCAATCCTGCGGGTGGAAGATTTATCCATTCACAATCCACCCACATCAACCACCCATTACTTACGGATCAAATTATTTGCGGATAGATCGATATCAATTCACGAAATACTACCCGTGTTACCTCCCTACTTTTCATCAATTAATTCTCATTCCAGCCTTCCAGCTATACGACTTGACTTCCCTAATTTTCCTCCAACTCACATGGGCTGGCACTCTAGGCCCATTGTAATCTTCCCCAGACTAGTCGGCCCAATTCTTTGTTTCTTCCCTACGTACTACTCCAATCCAATTGTCTTCTTAATAAAGGAATGGATCAGGTCAGTAACCTTATGGTGAGTAACCATGAGTAACCCGTTCACATCAGCATGACATCAGCATCCTCTCTCTCATGGAAAGCCTTTAATTTTTCCCTCTTTAATTTTTGGCGGACGATTACTCGCTCATTTTAAGTCGAAATTTAATTTTTTTTGCACAGTTAGATCAGATTAATTGTGCTCTTCAAAATGATATCCACTTTAATATATTTTTCGAACAAAAAAAATTGAGCCATTTTTTACCAGCCTATACCATATGGAATTGACTGGTATTGAAATAAAAGCATACCTATGTTTTGAAAAACGTACCATGGTGGTATGAACAAACCAATACTGTAGGATGGTTGAATACATGATAGTAGAAGTATATTAATTGTAATTTACGACTTTTAACATTGTATACCACACAATACCACCCCGCACCAGGGTGGTATTGTATGGTATTGTGTGGTGTTTTTTGGTCCTGTAATTTGTTCACCCAGAAATTTGTAAATCCAATAGATCATTATGAACTCGTCCCTTCTGTGCAAACGTTTTCAAAAACGAATTAAAAACGAAGAAGATACCATACAATACCACCCCGTACCAGGGTGGTATTGTATGGTATTGTGTGGTATTTTTTGGTCCTGTAATTTGTTCACCCAGATATTTGTAGATCCAGTAAATCATGATGAACTCATCCCTGCTGTGCAAACGTTTTCAAAAACGAATTAAAAACGAAGAAGATACCATATGGTATGCAGTTGGTACCGAGAGGCCAGAATTTTTTTTCCTAAAAAAATATTGAAAAATGATCTCATTTTGTAGAGCACGGTGAACTCGTTCCAACTGTGCAAAAAAAATTAAAATCCGAGTTAAAACGAAAAAGATATGAGTCAATTAAGAAAGCTAGTGAAAATAAAAATAGTCTTTAATTCTCCATCCTTAGATCTGAATTTTCTAAATGAAGTGTCCAGATTTGGTTATTGATGGGTGCATAACTCATGGTTATGCACCCTATCTTGTGCCCTTAATAATTTTCAGCCTTGTAGAGTTACTTTGCTGGTTTATGAACTAATTAATCAAGCCCCTAGTTTCAGCCTTAATTAACCAATCAATCAATTAATTAACTAGCACATGTACGATGAAGAAGAAAGAATATAAATATGACTTACGTGTATACTTAAGCTAGCCAGCCAGCTAATTATCACAAAAATGGGTGCAGCCATATGATTAAGCAAAGTCGTCGTATATTTACATGTGGGAAATATCCATACATACATAATTAAGCAGTGTCAACCCTAATTAATAAAGCTAGCTAAGCTTAATTGGATCCAGTAGTAGTTTCTAATCAGCCAGCCGCCATGCGCATGTGTTTTTCTTATTTTCCCTTCAGAGTCAGACACCAATTTGGATTACACTACACGATAATTAAGTGCATTATTAGTGTATGATGTAATCTACACAATGACACCCTAATTCATCTTAGTTAAGGGAATGATGGCGTCGCCAATGTTGAGCCCTAGCAGGCTGAAAATGATATAAAATAAATTTTGGGAGCAAGCATGGGCCAGCAAGGACAGCTACAGCAACGTTGTACGTTTTACTTTTACAGCAAGGCAGTATAAACGCGTTCCCCATCATCGACGGGCGACGTGGACAAGCCAGCGAAAACCTTGAGCGCATCTTCCTTCAACCTGGAGACGGAGCAATAGAGGAGGAAGTCGGCGTAGGCGAATGGGCGGTACAGCAGCGGATCACAGGAAAATTTAAGTCGTCTTAGAACGATATTCGTCACCAAAACGATCATTCCAGTTGTTGGGAGAGTATCAATGTAGGATGACAAAAAAAAAAAATTACTGTGATGCTAACGTATTGCAAGTTGATTATGAGGGATTGGAATGGGTTACCAGAAAGAAGGGTTGCCTTGGGCCCACATGACGGCAGTAAAAGCCTTGAGCGCTCGAGGTAAGGGACGGCGTCGTTCTTCCCCAGGTAGCTCCGGTACGGCTTAGGGCTGACGTGCCTCTCCTTGGTCTCCACGGGGAGGTCGAACAGATGGCGGAGCCCTTCCGCCATCCCTTCCCTCAGCTTGGCGGGGACCTTCTCCGTCGTGAAGCAGAAGCAGCCATGTGTCTCGCACGCCTGCCGAACCTTGTCGCACAGATCCCTCCACCGCGCGCCGCCGTCGGCGGTGGTGATCTCTTCTTCCCCGGCGGCGCCGAAGTCGAAGAAGGGGATTTCGTAGGGCTTCTCATCACCACCGTTAGCTGGAACCACCATGGTTTTGTTTTGTTTCTTGGGAGTGAAATTGTGGTGAGAGTGAGAGAGAGAGAGAGAAAGGTGTGGGTTTATACTTTATATACGAAGGGTCAAGGGTGTCTGTCCAGTCCACTTCAGATACGTCCAAAAGTTTGGGTATAGAATAGAAGAGAGAGTGCAATTATCCTACATAAACTAGTGTAATTATCTTTTTTAAAAATATTATTATTATTTCTAACTCATCCTCAACACTACATGGCCTTCAATTCTCACTTAGCTTAGTTTATTGGGGATGAATTGGTTCTTCCTCTGATATTAGAGTTTTTGACAGTAACTTTGTGTGATTGAATCTCGGTAATTAACTATAGTAGTAGTAATGTAATGATTGATGCATGAATAATGAAGCGTGCAAGTGAATGATATATGCATAAAAATAATTTATGTTTGGATGAATTATTCATATTATGATGATGCATGCAATGATCACCTAATATTGCTATGACGAATATGCTCACATATATTACTTGATAATGAGCTAATCTGATAAGGATGTACAAATACAATTAATACCTCTTTGGTCAAAGGTTATAATGCGTATCATGCTGATTGGTTTTACTCGATCGACCAATCTAGGGCAACGGAAAACTGATATGAAAGAAACACAACACAATTAGGGCTGGCTATTTGGTTCGAGCTGTTTGATTTTACTCGAAACCAGACCGTATAAAATCAAATCGGAATCGGATAACAAACAATCCAATCTAATTTTTCGGGCTTAGATTTGAGGTAAAAAATCGTTTGGGACCGGATCGAAAAACCTGATAAAGACCGGATAAAAGAGCCCAACACCCAAAACTTAACCAACTTCTCATCCTTTGAGTCATCGGGCAACTAAAATTCCCATAAGTTCAATCTAAAATCAAGACCAAATTAGGACCGGACCAGATCAAGACCGGATCGGACTGTATCCAATCCAATTTTTAATCCTTATATTCTCGAAAAGACGAACTAAGAATGGATCAATTCAGATCAATTTAACCGGACCGGACCGTATAGCGACCCCTACATACATTGCAGCTAGAAGATAAAAAGTGGGTCAAAATATATGTTTGATCTTACGATCACCATAATTGAGACATGGAGGGGGGAAAAATACATGTTGTGAAAAAAAAAACTGCATGTTTGTGAATGGTGGAAGATGTTTCTATTTTTTAACGATAAAACAAACGTAAAATAGTTGATAATTGAAAAATAGAGGTAATAGATGGATAAATTGAGTCCAATTACTCATAAAAATGAAGTCTTACACTTTTTAAAAATATTATTGGGTGAAGATTTGAGTCACGACTAGGAGTGTGTAATGGTCCGGACCGCACCGGATCGAGTATAACATGGTCTAGTATTTGGTCCCATTGAATTTTACAAGTAATGAAGAAATTATGGACCGAGCTGATATTTGGAGGGGCCGGACAGAACCGAATCAAATGGACCGTATGCAATGTTTGGTCCATTCCTTGGTCCTAAGATATCTTTTACTAATGGATCGCAGTTCTCATGAGTTTGGTCTGGTCTGGTCTGGACCGAACCGAACCGTTGCACACATGACCTAGTTAAGACAAGTCAAAATAGGGGAAATAAAACCGATAACGAGACAAATGAAGGTATCCTATTAATAAATAAGAATAGGATGGAAATTAATGTCTTATTACTGAAAACACAAAGGGTATAGAAATTATTTACAATAATCTGCTCTCATAATAACCATAACAAGCTAATACGAAAATTACATCACTTTTACGAATCCAATAAAGAATTATACTCTGTCAAATTACGTAACAATACTCGTAGTACTCATACTCCAATAAAAAATGGGACGAAAGTAGTACCATGCCTTGCCCGATGCTAATACAGATGAGGTAGGTATTATTACCCGCCCAACATAGATCAGATCGGATAATACCCAATAGACGCGTTCAAATTGTCGATCTTTGGCTACCAAAGAAATGAAAGAAAACGTTATCACTTATTAACGACAACATCGTAATCATAGAAGCCATTTGTCGATCGAAGAGAATAGTACAAAATTCATTCTTGGCGTCTCCCAACAGCCAACAAAAGGGCTCATGATTAACCACTAATATAGAGTGCGGCACATGATCCTTGTAATTAGCTTTCTCTTTGTAATAGTTTGTTTAACACCCATTGTAGTACTTAACAATATTCAGCCAACTGACTGAACTGAGTTTGCTGTGGAAGTACGGCACCAAACAGATTTGTGCTTCCCCGCCGGTGGAATCATGCACACTCCGACCGGTTTCCGGTTGGCATATAATAGTTGCTCTATCTCTCGCGCCACCACCTGCCCGCAAATGCAAGCGGCTGCCGCCTGATTCATAGAACTAGGTTCCGAATAACTTGTTCCCATTGATTTGTAGTTTCGCATCTATAATTTGCCAAGAGGAATATATCTACTTACCTGTCTGTCTTTGACAGCCATTCATCGTATCCTGTAAACCTAAGCTGTCCACCTCAACCTCTAACGAATTACAGCCAAATTGCAGGCCGCCGTTTGTAATAATTATTAACCAAATAATTGTAAATGAATAATGTAAGAATAGGTGGGACTAACTGATTTATAACATGATTTTAAAGTCTTATTTACAAGCAATATTTTGTGTAGTTCTGCTTTTATTCAGGGGTGTTGCCCGCACTTTGTCGTTGTGGCGGAGATCACACGTCTTCTTTCCTTGCCTTGGCTGGTTCCCATAGAACATGTTTTTAGGGAAGCTAATTTTGTTGTTGATTACTACTCAGCATCCCTTGGTCACTCGCGTTGTTCTTAGGGGCTCACTCTTTTGCGAGTACCTAGCTATTATCTTATGAATAAGCTACTAGTTGTACTTTGATCATATCGGGGTGGAAAGTGAAAACACATCCCATTATTAATGGATAATGGTTGGGATCCCAATAAATTGACCAAAAAAAAAACAGAATTTTGTGGTCGATCTTGTTCTACATTGGATGATTACTCATATATATATTCATACACACAAAAAAAAAAAAGGAGTTGATTTCATACTGGAAATACATTAACGACCATATACAAACTTCAAACTCATGAATAACTACCTTTTGATTTGGAAGTCATTCAGACTAATGTAAATATCGATGGTGCAACTACAATTCTAAATAGCGGGAAGGCAATGGTCCGACTAATTAATTACATGAATCAATTTTTATCATTACCCAGCTGTGAGACGGTAAGAATGTCACGCCTCGTTATTTTGATTAATATGAAAGGGGAATTATTCTGTGATAAGTTGATCGTATCAATAAAATTGTCTGAAGAAAACTATCAACAAATTGTTGATGGAATTGCATAAATCAATAGATAACACACCTAAAGATAATCAAATTTATGCAGTTGATGATGAAATTTGCAAGGGCGGGGGGGATGGGTTTCTGCATAAACAAATAAATGATTCATTAACTTGATGCGACTGAAACCAAAAAGTTAGATTCCGTTTTAGTTTTTACACAGTCAAACATATTCTTCTTGACCGGCTTTTTGTCCTTGTCTACTCAGTACTCACTGCCACCTTATAAATTCGGCAGTCGGCACACTTCCATGCATCAATATAATACAACACACAATCCAGCTTTAGAGAAAGCCAACTAAGTACGAATAACTATGGGTTCTTATCATCATGAGCCACAAAAACAACTCCCCACCATCGACCTCTCAAGGATCTCGCCGGCGCCGGAGCTAAGGGGAACGGAGGAATGGGATGTTCTGTGCAGAAAAGTACGGGAGGCATGTGAGGAGTACGGCTGCTTCGAGGTGGTGTACGAGCCTATACCGGTGGAGCTGCGGGCCGAGACGTTCTCGCTGATCAGGCGAGTCTTCGAGCTGCCGGCGGAGACCAAAGCGCTGAACTTCAACCCTAAGCCGTACCATGGCTACACCGGGGTTTATAACTTGTATGAGAGCTTGGGGATCGAAGATGCCTCCAACTGCGACTGTCTCCGGGAGTTCGCCGCCCTCATGTGGCCTCAACACAATGGCCATCGCCAACATTTCTGGTACGATTTACTGTCGTGATACGTATTATTGTTGATACAATTGTATGATCGACTGTCATGATACGTATTATCGTTCAAATTTTAGATTGTTGTAGCTATTGTTGTTATTCCTTACCTATGTCATTCACAAATCATCATGGTAAAATCAAAGAAAGACAAATATATATATATATATATATATATATATATTAATAAAAGATGATCTCATGGTGCTAAATAGAGAGCTTGAAAGGGAAACACAAGTTGCCCTTTTAGCAGGTAATTTCTAAATCCCTACATGAAAAGAAAAAAAATTGTAAGGTTTGTAAATTACTTATTAAGAATTAACAAACTCTTTTATTAATCATTTACAAACAATAAGAAAGATTCAGTAAACTTGTCGTCGCGTCGATGTTTATTTTGACGTTTCTTTGTTTTACCTAAGCCGAACGTATGAGTTGGCATGTAATGACCAGACAAATTCGAAAAATAACCTTTGTAATTAAAGTGTTTTTTTTTTTATCGCTTAAATTTTTTTCAGCAAGACGGTTGGCACCATGATGAAGCAACTGGAGGAGCTATGGCGGATGGTTGAGATGCTGATTTTGGACAGCTACGGCTTGACGAAAGCGACCAATGAAACGACGTCGTCGATCGTGGAATGCAAGACCTTGCTGCGCATAATGCAATACACAGCACCTCCAATGGGGAAGCCCATGAGCGGCCTGCCAACTCACACCGATAAGCCACTCTGCACATTCCTCTGCGACGATCAAGTCTCCGCCCTTCAAATTGAGCTCAACCAACCGCCGGGCGACGGCGAAGAGCAGTTCATTTCAGTTCCTATCAACCCCACTTCTTTCTTGTTTATCGTAGGAGATCCTCTAATGGTACGACCTTCACATAAAAAATGTAACATCATTTCATTTGCCGTTTCGCCACATGCATTTATTACTCTG